TCAGGTGAGAATGCAATCTTATGAAAGAAATAAGAATGAATCTCGTGCTTTAGATTGTGAGATCTAAGGGTCAGGATTGCATCAAAATTAGGTGCACCAAAATGATTTGAAAATGCATCATGTCGAAATGCACCAAAATCCTTTAAAAATGCACTATCTCAAAATCTGAGTGCAGGATGCAATCTGAGCCGCACGATGCATCAGATCCAAAGGCTAGATTTTATTCTTATTTCTTTCACCAAGGTGCATTCTCACCTGAACCGCCCCCTATATATATATATATATATATATATATATATATATATATATATATATATATATATATATATATATATATATATATATATATATATATATATATATATATATATATATATATATCATCTTCATATACATCGAAATTGCTTAGCTTCCTTCGGCAAACGCTAGGTAATTTAAACTTCCCTATTCTTTCTAGTTATTCCTGCACTATTTTCGGCCAACACTCGTACCCAGCCCAAAAAAAATGCTGCACTCTTTGATTTTCGATTTCTTCCTCAAGTTTATAGGTTCGCAAAAAAAAAGTTTTAGGTTACCTAGGGTTTCGATTGTTCATAGTTATTAGGTTTGATGAGAACAGAATTAGAACTTGAATAAGAGTCATTTTGTTATTATGAATTGATTAAAAAAATTTTAAATTACCCATGTCTGACCATTACATGATCTCAATCTGCATGTGACCATTAAACGAGAATGAAAGAAATTATGTTCAAAGAATGGATTTGTTCACTTGTAATTACGAATAATGTGATGCTTGAGAGTCATATACAAAGCATAATATAATAAAAACTGGACAGCAAAATTAATATTTGTAATGCTTTTTGAAGTCTAAACTGTTTCTTTGATCCATAATTTGGAACTTCCTAAGATTATACCTAAACAATTGGGTTCCTTGGTTAAATAAACCTCCCGAATTCGAGCTAAAACCATTGACCTTAGATCTTAAATATGCTTACCTAGATCTGAATGAGACTCTACCTCTGATCATTTCAAGGAAATTGAGTGAAGAACAAGAAGGTAGACTGTTTGGGTTGTTGAAACTCTTTGGTGGAGCAATTGGATGGACCTCATGAGACTTAAAAGGCATAAGTCAAGCCCTAATAATAATGTCTAGATCCCCAAATAGCAATTTTACCAGTTACTCTAGGAATCAGCTTTTCACAGTCCTCCATTTGCAGTCGGGTTGTAGTAATTTGACTCCCCAAAGTGAAAGGCAGGTTACCTTTACTCGTATTAGTAAGCTAAATCAGCTCCTCTTGCACTTGTTGGCTACCACCTCCAAACACTCTTATTCCTTAGCTGGCAGCTGACCTTTCCCTTGGGGCTTACCTCTTGGCTGGCCTAACCGGGTGAGGTATTGGGTATAGAAAGCCGCACGAAATTTGTGAGTCAGCCGCTATAAAGGAGAACTCCAGATCTTTGTATGAATTTGGTCCGCTTTCAGGAACTTAAGTAACCTGGAAGTTTCCTTGATTTCCTACTTCGAACTTATCTCTTCATATTGGGTTGGTGTTCAGTGACTGGCCTTTTTCTTGTTGTTGATGAGTGCCTGTAGCTTTACCCAAGCATGAATGGACTAAAGACAGTGATGGAAAACCAAAAGACCTCTATAGCTTTCATTATACATGGAATGGAGTTAGCATCTTCTTTGCTAACTACACTTAAGTCATCAGAAAAATTTAGGTTACTAAGCTTCATGCTAGCACACATGGGATGAAGCTTAAGAGCCTCTCCTTGATCAGTATGCTGCAGGATCCTAGTTTGGTACTCTATGATCAGAAGAAAATTTACAGGAGATATAGAAATAGAGAACATAGACCAATTAGTGAACTATTTTGGAAATTTAAGCCCATAGAGAAATAGAATCACATGCTTTCTTTATGTTGGAATTTTATAATTACAACTACAACTTTATTTTGACCTTTAACTACCATACCAACCTCATTTTGATTGGAGACAATGAAATTGTGAATCTTCCTCTTCCAAAAAGGCAAAGACAAGCGTGGAATTCTGATTACCTTTCTGTTATCCCACTAAGTTTAGTTTGTTAACATTTCAAATCATGTGAAGCTTTAATCTTAACATACAACTTTTCTTCCATCCCTTCATGTGCTTCTCTCAAACTCAGATTATGGGAGAAGCCTTATTGAATGCGCACCTCATCAATCTGAATCCTAGCATAACCCCATTTGGTATGGTTAGCTTTAACTTTAACCCTTTTTACAGGCTTGCGAGTAGTACGTCCTAACTTGCTAAGTCCTGATAGGCTACAACATTTTATTCCCAGATTAGGGAACTAAACTAACATTAGCTTATTGTCAAATACATAGTATCTGTGTTTTACAACTTCCCCCCTCTCTTCTAAGTAATCATATCAAACTACATACTTACCTTCTTTAAGCTAAAGTGAAATCCTATATGAGAGACTCCTTGAATGTTCTAGCAACAAAGTCCATAACGACATCCAACGAGGGGGGGTGGGGGTGGGGGTTGCTCCTAAGACACAACAGGCTACAGCCTTATCCCGCCCATGAATCTCTTCAATAACATCAGACTTTGTGAATTTAGGTATCCTCTGACCTTTTTTTTCTTTGGCCATATTTGCAACCAATGAAATCACTGCATCTAGATAGCTCTTAGGCTGTTATTTTTTCCATTTTACCATCGGTCAGCTCAACCCTTTAAAGGTGTAAAATCCTTTAAAAAGTTTAGCCAATACTCTACCTCTAAAAGATAACTCTCTTGACCTCAATCCTTTAAAAACTTTAGCCAATACTCTAGTACTACAAGTTCTTAACATCACTGAGTAATATTATCCTTCAAAGCTCTTAATGATTATTTCCTATTTCTTTTCACATTGACAATATTCAATTCAAAAAACTTTTCATCAAAATAATTTTCCGGGGGGGGGGGGGGGGGGAA